TTAAATTATTATAGAATTATATTATAGAATAATAATTCTGAAAATTATCAACATGTAATTATTGATATTTATTATCTTAAAAGTTAAAGTACGATGAAATATTTAATGGATGTTATTAATTGGATAAAATATTGTTAATAATTGTTAATATAATATGTTAATAATTGGAAAAAATATTTTAAGGAAGGTTTAACTTGATGTATAGTAATTATCAATTTATTTTTTGTGTTTATTATTCCAATTGAGTGAATAAGTAATTAAAAATTAAATTCAGTATTAATTACTTTTTAGTCGCCTTTACTGTTTTTTAATGATATTACTATGTATCGTATTATAAAATTAATTAACGCTTTAATATTATAATATAAATGACAAATCATGGAAATTTACAATCATGGAAAGACTTATGTAATGACCTATATCTAATTTTGAAATTTGTTTTGTTATTTTCACGATTCTATCAGCAATTACGCGTAAAAGGTTTCCGCAATCTTAGTGCAAAGTCTCATTCTCATGCCATTCCATCCTACTGACGTCGTTTAACTGTCGATGAAATCTGAATAACGAGGAAAGTTCAATAGGTTTTAAGTCAACGACGAAAATACGTTAAGTTCACAGCCGAATACCGGTGAGAAAGACACATTAATGTTAGAGAGTGTCCGATAATAGGAAAAGTCTCTGACATTCGTGAGAAGTGCTCTGAGTTTTGGAGAACTACATAGCGCCCCTTTAGAGCATGTTTCGCACGAGTTCTTGTAGGAAATAGTTGGTGAGTTCTTGGTTACAAGTTACAAATTTCGATGGAGTCTTGATTAAATTCTCGATATTATCAATGAATACAAATGAAGATTTCATGCACGATAAATTTTCAAACGTATACATTTCAATTTCTCTTTTTTTGATGAAGAACTATATCGATTTCAAATGTTTTGTGTATTTGATGTAATTATTTAATGTATATGATAAAGTTGGAAAAAAAAATATAAAACTAGATCTACAAATTCATATATACATTAAATAGAATTTATCTCTTTTGAACTGCGATGATTGAAGTCAATTTGATTTTATTAAGCGATCTTTCTATTTTCATGCTAGAAAAATCGTCTAAGCTACATTCAAGTAATTAATTTAACTTTAACGATCTGTGCTGTTAAATAGACATAGAGATGACAGTCCATCTTCTTTTGCGGCGGAAAGATATAGAGATAGGAATTGAAAAAAACGGAGATCGTA